CACAGAGCCATAGTTCACTGAGAAGCTACGCAAACAGCTGTCATTATCGCGAACAATTTCTTCGATTTCATAATATGCGATTTTAGTAAATGTGTAGTAAATGCTGCTCCATCTGAAAGCATGTGATGGAGATTTACTGCTGATTACAGAACCGGCTTTACTGACAAAATGCACATGACAATCGCATTCGATTAATCGTGCAGCCCTATGCTAGACCCAGACTCTTTTCATCAGGCTTCACGCAGGTCTCCACCATCATGGCAACAATAACAATTCCCAACATATCACCAATCAATAGCCTGCATTCAAACCAACCATTCAAACATGGTTATTCATCAGCAACTTACAGAATTTATAGAAAACAAGGACAGTAGTGCAAGCCACATAAAAGATTGGAATATAATTGAAGTAGGACTCTCCATCAATGTAAACATGATGTAGACTCGTCCACTGGCGATTAATTCCATGTATGCTATTGTCTATGCCAGGGGTAGGCAAGTTTGGTCCTAGAGAGCCGCAGTCCTGCTATGCAACACGTTTCAACTATTTCACTATTTATTTGTTTTCTTTTTTACACACCATGGCAAACCAAAGCAACTGAAATTATTTAAAAAAAATCTTTTTCCTCCTCACAGCGATGAGAAAAAGCTTTAAGGCGCAAGAGTTTTATTAAATGCCTATGGGCCGTTCACACTGACAGAGGTTTGCAGCAATCAAACAACATTTCATGAATTTTCAATAAAGGTTGTGATAAGTGCTTCACTGGTGCTGTTCATGAGTGTAAACTCTTTGACTTGTGGCTGATCCCATCTTTTTTTCCATAAAAGATCCTTCATAGTTTTATCTTCTGTGACCAAAATAAGTTCACTTAAAATCCTTTTTTCCATTTAGTAATGTTGATGACTTGGTATTTTAAATTAAAATACAAAAAACACCATGTCGCCTCGTCAGCTGATTGACTTACCTCAGCATTTAATGCTGACATAACATTCAAATTACTCACCATTCCGTGATGAAACTTAAGTAACATACATTTTTAGATGATATTAAACAACATCCGAAATTATATTGTGTTTTACCGGTCATTTTAAATGGGAAAAAAACTGCAAATCTCGCTTTCTCACGCCGGTGAGTTGTAGAAAGACGTTTGCGCGCTTTTAAGCAGCTCGCACGCACTCGGCGAGTTGTGGTTGAGTTTAGTACAGCAGTTTCACTATTGAGTTTTGACGGCTATAATACGATAAGAGAAGATTGGTTATGAGTATGACTAAGTTTTTTGTTTTTATTATGAAATAAAATAAAAACATTTGCACATCAAATCGATCCAGTTTTCTTTTCAGAGTAAACTGGGCTTAGTTTTTTTTTTTACTTTAGTATTATTATAGTAGGTTACATTTTTTTACTATTTACACTCCCATGAGAAGTCATATTAACTGCAGTCTTAAATACAAGGGATGACTCTGAAATGTACCTTTTTATTAGCACATGAAATACAGCAATACATTCTGTAAAGGTGATATTTGCCCACAGCTGAGCAGGTGTCACCGCTCTCACCATGTCTGACATGTCTTCATGTTCCTGCAGTGCTCTGGTGTTGATTTAAGTACAGATAAATAAAAGCTTACGTATTTTACTTTACAAAAAAAAAAAAAAAAAGTAAAGAGCTTGTGTATTTTACTTTGCTTTATGTGCGACTTGAATGAGAAACAAAATGTCAAAACATATGCAGGACACAAGATGCCTCCCTTGAACCTATGATCAGATGGTACATGGACAACACTCTGTGTCTGGCATTTGTTTGCTAAGTTTGCTTTGGTTTACATGGGGGTGCAATGCATTTAATTTG